AGAAAGGCCTGACCCGGCCTTCATATCCTCCCTCCCTCCCCGCCAGCTTTTCCTATTAAAACTTGCTGCCCGACACCACCCCCTCACTCACCCCTCAGATAACGTGCGCTACCTCCACCAGGTGTTGTGACTTATCAAACATCTTGGGGAATGGTTCAAATGGGAAACTAAGGTCTGTAGGTCTGTATTAGTTTCCTGTGGCTGGTGTAACAAATTGCCACAAACTGGGCGGCTTAAAACAGCAGAGATTTATTCTCTTAAACGCCGGCGGAGGCCGGATGTCCGAAACGAAGGTGTTGGCAGGGTCACGTTCCTCTGAAGCCCCTGGAGGAGAGTCCTTCCTTGTTTCTTCCAGGTTATGGTGCCTGCAGGTGTCCTTGGCTTGTGGCAGCATCACTGAAGTCCCTGCCTGCGTCTTCACATCACCTTCTCTGTATTTCTGGGTCTTCTGCTATTCTGTCCCTTCTAAGGACACTCATCATTGGGTTTAGGGCACACTGAGTGATCCGGGGTGATCTAATCTCTAGATTCGTCCCTTAATTACATCTGCACACCCCCACTAGTTGCCATGAAGTCAACCCCCACTCATGGCGACCCCGTGAGTGTCAGAGTAGAACAGTACTCCGTAGAATTTTCAATGGCTGATTTTTCAGAAGTAGATCACCAAGCCTTTCTTCTGAGGCACCTGTGGGTGGGCTTGAATTGCCAACCTTTTAGTTAGCAGCTGAGTGAATTAACCGTTTGCACCCCCAGGGACTCCAATTACATCTGCAGAGACCCTTATACCAAATAAGGCCACATTTGGAGGCCCTGGATGGACGTATCATTGTGGGGGCCACCTCTCAACCACAGCATGTCTCATGGCAGACCTGTGGGTTGGCGGCCCCTGTGGTGTCCCTCACATCACATTGTCTGTCCCCTCTGGTCATCCTAGGACCAGTCGTGATGTCCCTTGTGGCCTTGGGGGAACACATCAGTACAGACTCATCAGTACAGAATGCAAGGGCCCCGGGAGAACCCATCAATACAGAGTTCAGGGGCCCCGGGAGAACACGTCGGTGCAGAGTTCAGGGGCCCCAGGAGAATGCATCGGTACAGAATCATCAGTACAGAATGCAGGGGCCCCAGGAGAATGCATCGGTACAGAATCATCAGTACAGAATGCAGGGGCCCCAGGAGAACACATCAGTACAGAATGCAATCGCCCCGGGAGAACGCATCAGTACAGAGTTCAGGGGCCCTTGGAGAATGCATCAGTACAGAGTTCAGGGGCCCCGGGAGAATGTATCGGTACAGAATCATCAGTACAGAATGCAAGGGACCCGGGAGAATGCGTTGGTGCAGAGTGCAGGGGCCTTGCTGTTTTTTTCTTTGAATTGAAGCTCCTTCTCTGTGATGTTGCCTTGTCCAGACCGTCTGCCCAGCCCCCGGCCTCAAAGGCTCACGCCCTGGGGAAGAGGGGCTGGGGAGGCTCCTACTACCCCCTCCCGATCAGGCCCTTATTAAAATCCTGGAGCCCCCAAATGGGTGCAGTCATCAGAAGGAATCAAAGGCAAGCTGGGATGATTAAAGGGCCGGGGCAAGATGATTGGAGCTGAGAAGGAGAAGACCAAGAACAACTGGATTGTCCTACAGTCTGGAGAAAGTAATTATGACTTGAAGGGTGGTGCCCAGCTGTTTCCCATCTCCTCTGAGAGCAGAGGAAATAAGTGATGTACAATTAGAGCAGTGGGTTAGATACAAGGGCAAGCTTCCTGGCTGGGAGCAAGGCCGAGCTCTGGGTTGGGTTTCCTGAGGCAGCTTGGGGGATCTCCTTACCTGAAGAGCTCTAGACCTGGCACCTGTTCCGTCAAGTCTGACTCTGCAGGACAGAGTAGAACTGCCCCATAGGGTTTCCAAGAGTGGCTGGTGGATTTGAACTGCTGGACCTTTTGGTGAGTAGCTGTAGCTCTTAACCACTGCGCCACCAGGGCTCCTAGGCCTGGCAATGCCTGCCCAAATGGTTACAGGGAAGTGGGGCCAGAAGTAGGTGTGTGGACTGGATGCCTTGGAGCACAGTCCTGCCAGCATGGGGCTGTTTCTGGCTTAGGAGATCAGCTCCCTCCTGCCATTGTCCCTTGGGCTCCCAGAGGGAAGCATTTGGGTGAGGCGTGCACCCTGGCTGGGCTCCCTGAGGAAGTAACTCTAAGTCTGTTAGCTGCACAGCACACAATGAAGTGCCCCTGTGCTAATCTGGTAGAACTCCATGCCAGCTCGCGGGAGAATAATCACGTGGGTGTGGCCACACTCACCAGGTGCTTTTGATAAAAATCCTGAGCATAATGCTGTGGCCCTGGTTGGATGCCGCCCCGGAACCAGGGACGGATTATCTAACAGGCGAGGTAAGCACGGTGCTTACCTTGCTTACCAGATCATCTGTAGTGAACAATTTCACATTTTTTCATCACATCAAAGATTCGGTTCTAGGTGTGGCTGGCATCTATCTCTCTCCCAACCCCACAGCACCTTCCTACAGAATCGAAGTCTCTTTTCAAATGTACAATCCATGACGGGGCAGATGACCCAGTGAGCAAGGTAAGCATGGCCTTACTTGTGCCTACTTATTAATCTATAGTGACCAGTTGCACGTGGGTTTCACCACATCTGTAAGCACAAGTAAGCCCGTGCTTACCTTGCTTACTGGGTCATCCCTCCTGCCTGGAAACTTCCGGGGGCCATCACAGCCGGGATCCCAGGCCCCCGAGTGCTGAGTGGACAGATGCCTCAGCAGGCCCAGCTGCTAAATTTCAGACAAGAAGTGCTCGGGGCTGAAGCGGAAACCGTCGGGGGCTATTCCTGGCTCATTTTCCTGGAACCCGGGCTCCTGGGCAGACGAGGGTGTGCGTGCATCTGACATGGCTGTGGTTTTGCAGTTTCCAGGTCCATAAACTCACTTGGTTGAAAATAATTCAAAATATCCAAAGCATGACAGAGGGAGTGACTGCTTTTCTTGTAAAGGAACGGCCCGATTTCATCTACATGAAAGTACCCATCACACCTGCGGCATTCCCCACAGTGCCCCTGGTAGCCCAGCTGCCGCCTCCCCGGATGACGCGAGGTCTCAGCAGCCCCTGCACATTTGGGATCTTTCAGAAAGGGTGGGGGAGGGGAGGGGCATGGCGGTGGCCAGTCTCAGGCCCAGGATGAGCTCCGGGTCACTCACATGCCACACATTTGGGGACAGTATCGCAGAGTTGCCCATAGGCGGTGGGGGGGGGGAGGCGGCGGCGGCAGGGAGGCTCGTTATTACCTGTCGCTGTCGAGTCGATTCCAACTCATAGTGATGCTGTAGGACAGAGTAGAACTGCCCCACAGGGTTTCCAAGGCTGTGATCTTTAGGGAAGCAGGCTGCTACATCTTTCCCCCGGCAGAGCGGCTGGTGGTTTTGAACTGCCAACGTTTCTGTTCTTAACCACTGCGCCACCAGGGCTCCTTGGAGTTCCCTAGAGCTCCCGGACTTTGTGCAAAAGGCAGAGCCCTGGGTGTCCAGGAGAACAGGCGGGAGCAAGTAGCACGTGCAGGGCTAGGATAGCACATGCAGCGGTGCCTCTCGGGGCCATTGCTACCTGCATCCGCCTCACTTGGTGGGGAGGGGTGCTTGTCAAAATGCAGATTCCTGGGGGATGTTTCCAGGGATGGCTCTGGGCTGCTGCTTTTAAGGAGCTCCCAGGCGACTGTCAGGCCTGGGCCGGGCTCAGCCAGGCAAGGTTACATGCAGACCTGGAGGACTCTTCCTGGGACTGAGCAATGGCCTGTTGCTTCTCAAGTTCTGTGTCTAACCCACCACTTTGTCTCCAGCCCCTGGGACCTGCCTGCCTTGTAGGTAATAGAATTTAATCATGTTTGTGAATGAATGGAGGTGATAGACTCCTGTCCTTGGTCATCTAAGCACCCCTGTGCCCTTGACTGTGGGAGGCCTGGCCCAATGGGCAGGGGGGCTGTCCTTCTCCCCATTGCTAATTCCTTCCTTCTTCCTTCAGGAGGTATGAAATATCTTCTTCCCAGTGGAAGGCCAGGGTCCAGCTCTGCCCTCAAGAAGTCCCCTTATTGGGAGGCGCACACGTCCTTGGCTGTTGTGACAGGGGCTCCATCCTGCCTGATGCCTGCCCCTGGAGCCCAGCCCCTACTCCGGGGTGGCAGGGTGGGGGGCTGCAGGGGCGCACGCGGCGGGTGGGATTCGGGTGCTTCCAGTCTCCGGCCACGTGACTCGCGGGCTCTTTGGCCCCCAGGCCCAGATCCTACTCGCCGGACCGGGCCCAGGGAGGATCGGGCTGAGGACCGTCGTGGGGAGGATCAGACCGAGACCCTAGGAGAACGCCGGGCCGAGCACGCCGCCGCTTAACCCTTGCCAGGCGCTAAGCGCGGGAAGGGAGGCCAGCGAACTTTGTTTGCTGCGTAAATGAACCTCCCGCCAAAGGACCCCCGTGCCCCGGGTAGGGGAGGCCGCTCTTCCCCTCGGCGCCCGCCCCCGCGCCGCTGGCCTCCACATCCGCCCACATCTGGCCGCAGCGGGGCGTCCGGCCGCCCTGGGCCTGCGAGCGG